AATACTTAGAAACATGCTCTACACCTTTAAAGGAAAAGCCTGAAGCTTGTAAAGCTAAACAATAACAATATGTCAGCTGGGAGTGGTGGCTCACGCCTGTAATCCCAGCACTTTGGGATGCCGAGGCACGTGGATCACGAGATCAGGAGATCAAGACTATCCTGACCATCACGGTGAAACCCCGTCTCTGCTAAAAAAAAAAAAAAAAAAAAAAAAAAAAAAAATTAGCTGGGCGTGGTGGCACGTGCCTGTAGTCCCAGCTACTCAGGAGGCCGAGGCAGGAGAATTGCTTGAAACCAAGAGGTGGAGACTGCAGTGAGCCAAGATCGCGCCACTGCACTACAGACTGGGCGACAGTGCAAGGCTCTGTCTCAAAAAAAAACATGTCTAACTAGTACTTAGGAATTAATACCTTTAAATGTTTTTGTTAGAAAAGAATATCAATAAGACTCAAAGCTAGTTCTCTGAATGATGCACATTTCTAAGTAGACAAAAGAAAAACCCTAAATAGCCCTGTATCTAAAGAAATCCCATGCTGATGCGACTTTAATTCTTTCAAACACTTAACAAATAATTCAATTCCTGCACACTCTTTCAGAAAACAGGAGGAAATACTTCTCAACGCATAGACCAACATTACTCTGATACGAAAACCAGATAAAAGACATTACAAGAAAACTACATACCTATATCACTCATCAACACAGACACAAAAATCTCAGTGAAATCTAGCAATACATCAAAAGCATAACAAGTGACAACCAACTAGGGTTTAATAATGTAAAGTTTAATATTTAAAAAATTCAGCAGTAATTATGTTGTTAACAGAATGAAGGAGAAAATCCACATGAAAATCTCTAAATATGCAGGAAAAGAATCTGACAAAATCAACAACCATTCATAATTAAAGAAATAAAAACACAAAACACTCTAAACAGCCTAGGAATAGAAGGAAACTTCCTGAAACTTAATAAAGTGCATTGACTAAAAATCTCTACAGCTGACATCATACTTAATGGTGAAAGACTAAGCACTTTCCCCCTAATATCGGGAATAGAGAAAGGATTGTGTCTACTGTCATTTCTTCTATTCGACATTATTTAGAAGGTATATAGGAAAATATTCAGTATAATAAAGAAGAACAAGATGTAGAAAGCACATAGGTAAGGGAAAAAACATAATGCAATTTACAGGCAGACAATAATCACGTACACAGAAAAACCCACACTATTTATAAAAGAAGATACTAGGCCCAATCAGTGAATTTAATAAGGTCACAAGATACCAACTGAATGTAAATGTGATAAACAGCTGGAAATGTATAAAAATGTTAACACTATTTTAGCATTAAACCATGAAATACTTAGGGATACATTCAGAAAAGTGAGTCCAACATGTGGACAATAAAAGTAAAAACTATTGCCAAGAGAAAGAGGAAGCCCTGGCCAGGCATGGTGGCTCATGCCTTAAATCTGAGCACTTTGGGAGGCTGAGGCAGACAGATTGCTCGAGCCCAGGAGTAGACCAGCCTGGGTAACAGTGAGACCTCATCTCTATTGAAAAAAGTAAAATAAAAAACAATTTTAAAAAGCAGTAAAGAAGGAGTAAGTAAATGCACAGAGATACCATGCTCACTGATGAGAAGATGCAATATTGCTAAAATAGCCAATTCTCTCAAAATTTATCTAGAGTTTGAAATGCAATGCCAATCAAAATCCTGAAAAACTTTTTGTGGAAACTAACAAGCTGATTCTAAACTTTGTATTGAAATTCAAGGACCTAAAATAGCCAAAACAATATAGAGAAAAACAAAGCCGAAAGATTTACCACTAACTACAAGCTCTCAAAACCTTACTATGAAGCTATAATGAGACAGGGTAGTAATGGCATAAGAATGTATGTAGAGCAATGGAACAAAAGATAAATTATAGGAGCAGACATATATGATCAATTAATTATTGACAAAAATTCCAAACTAATTCCATGGGGAAAAGAATAATCTTTTCAGCAAAGTCTTTAACTAACAAAATATTTCTATGGAATAAAAAGTAAACCCTGACCTCACACTATATACAAACACGATTGATCTCAATGTAAAAGCTTAAACTATTAAACATCTAGAAACACCAGAGGAAAATTTAATGAACTTGGGATAGGAAAAGATCGCTTATATAGAACACAAACCATAAAAAAATTAATTGGGGCCGGGTATGGTGGCTCACACCTATAATCCTAGGACTCTGGGAGGCAGAAGTGGGTGGATCACTTGAGGTCAGGAGTTCGAGACCAGCCTGGCCAACAAGGTGAAACCCTGTCTCCACTAAAAATACAAATTAGCTGGGTGTGGGGGTGGGTGCCTACTTGGGAGGCTGAGGAACAAGAATCGCTTGAACCCAGGAGGCAGAGTTGCAGTGAGCTGAAATAATGCCACTGTACTCCAGCCTGAGTGACCAAGCAAGGCCCTATCTCAAAAATAAATAAATAAAATTTAAAAATTAACTGGATTTCACCAAAATCAGAAATTTTTTCTCTTCAAAACACACTATTAGGAAAAGGAGGCGAGGCATGGTAGCTCACCCCTGTAATCGCAGCACTTTGGGAGGCCAAGGTGGTGGATGACCTGAGGCCAGGAATTTGAGACCAGCCTGGCCAACATGGCAAAGCCCCATCTCTACTAAAAAACACCAAAAAACAAAAACAAAAACAAAAACAAAAACAAAAAACAAAATCACACACACCCTATCCGGCATGGTATTGCATGCCTGTAATCCCAGCTACCTGTGGCTAAAGCAGAAGAATCACCTGAGCCGGACGTTACAATGAACCAAGACTACGCTACTGCACTCCAGCCTGGGCACAGCAAGACTGTCTCAGAAAACACACACACACAGAGAGAGAGAGAGAGACAGAGACAGAGACAGAGAGAGACAGAGAGAGAGAGAGAATGAGAATGAAACACCAATCCCAAACCGTAATATATCAGCAATATATACAAGTGGAAAAGGAGTTATATACATAGAATAAATTAAGTATAATGTTTAACTCTTAAAATTCAACAATAAAACAACAATCTAATAAAGAACAAAGGAATTTGAACATACTTTCCAAAGAAGCATATATTGCCATCTCTCTAAGCCTAAGTACAAGAAAAGATACATAAAGCCACTAGTCATTGTGGAAACAAAATAGACCAGAATAATTTAGGACTCAACTACACACCTATTAGAATGCTGAAGGTAGGGAAAGGACTGGCCAAGATATGCAGGAACTGTAATTCTCAACGGATGAATGGATAAAGCACAGTATTATTCAGCTAATGGACTACTATTCAGCAATAAAAGGGAAAAACCTACTATACATGTAACAACAAACGAATAAAGCATAATAACAGCAACAAAAAAAGCCAAACTTAAAAAAATTACGTACTGTATAATTCCATTTATATGAAATCATAAAACAGGCAAAACTAGTCTATATGACACAGAAAGATCAATATTAGCCTAGATTTAGGGAGGGCGGTGGAATGCCTACAAAGTACCATGAGGGAACTTTTCTGGAAATATGGAGATGGTCTATGTTCTGAATGACAGTGGTTATACATTTGTCAGAACACATTAACATAAACACTTAGCATGGGGTGGATTTTCTTATATATGTGCAATTCAGAGATGCTGCAGGTTCCAGACCACTGCAGTAAAGCTAATATTGCAATAAAGCAAGTCACACAACTTTTTTGGCTTCTCAGTGCTTCTGAAAGATATGTTCATACTACACTATGGTCAATTTAGTGTGTGATAGCATTGTATTTTTTAAAAAGCAAGGTACGCACCTTAACTAAAAAATATTTTATTGCGGAAAGTGCTAACGAACACCTGATTCTTCGATGAGTCATAATCTTTTAGCTGTCAGAGGGTCTGGCCTCTATGTTGATGGCTACTGACTGATCAGGATGGTGGTTGATGTAGGCCGGGATGGCTGTAGCAATTTCTTAAAAGAGACAGCAAATAAGTATGTCCTATCAATTTATTGATTCTTCCTTTCATGAAAGATGTATTTGCCAGGCATGGTGGCTTATGCTTGTAATCCCAGGATTTTCGGAGGCCCAGGTGGGCAGATCATCTGAGGTCTGGAGTTCAAGACTAGCCTGACCGACATGGAGAAACCATGTTTCTATTAAAAATGCAAAATTAGCTGGGTGTGGTAGCACACGCCTGTAATCTCAACTACTCAGAAGGAGGCTGAGGCAGGAGAATCACTTGAACCCAGGAGGCGGAGGTTTCGGGTTTAACTATAGGAAAATAGTTAAAAAGGCATTTAGTGTGTGTGGCCTTCCCTCTGCGGGAGGCGGTCAGAAAGGCAGCTGGGACCTCATACAAACCTGGGCAGGCTCTGCTCATACCTGAAATTCCTGAATTCTCAACCGCATCGTACAAAAACTGCTTGAAAATGTTCATCAGAACCCCCAGCCAACGAGGCCCATTTAGACAGCTTCACAGCACGGAATGCGTGGTCTTGGTCCCCAGGGCCGGGGCGGAGAGGGGGGGACACCAGCAGCCACACGGTGGCCCCTCCACCCTCAGGCCAGGACTGCAGAGACCACCCGCTGGGGCCGCGAGAGTGACCTGGGAGCCAGATGGAGCCCTGAGTGCCAGCGGAAGGCACAGGTCCCTGCCCAGGCTGCCACTTCTGAGGCTCATTTAGTGTTTTTTCTACTTAGGAAATCAAGGACAATCAATTGTAGTTATCTTACAGCTGCTGTTCTGGGATCAGAAGGAAAACGCTGATGACATAACTGCTCTTTTGGTGTTTAGTAATTTCTTAAAATGACTGGCTTTTATGACAATGTCTTCCAGAGCGCATTAGAATCCATACAATTGCAGGGATTTCACCAAGAAGGGCTGCACAGAAACTCCTGGGCAACTCAGCCAGGGGCTGCTCCCACTGTGGTGGCACCACACTGGAACCTCGCTCACGATAAACACCTTAAGGGCACAACTGCGCATTTAGACAAGCGGTGGTGATCTCGGAGCATACACACAGCCGAAAACACCCGGGGGTCCTCAAGGGTCCTCCTCATCTGTAATCTCAGAAATTCTGTCTGTAGATTTAAGGGTTTCAACAACAAGATTCAGCGTCTCGGCTCCCGAACCCAGCTGCTTGATGGAAGCCTGTGCGCCGCTCGTGACCCCTCCGAGGTTCTGCAAAGCTGTGTCGCGTTCTGCTTCACCACGGTCAGGCTGGCGCCCTGGCCGCGCCGCTGGGCTTCGTTCTCTCGCTGGAAGTTGGAGACCTGCGCCTGAAGCAAATTTACCTCCTGTTTCAGCTTCATTACGTGGTTTTCTGCCTTGATCATTTTTGCTTCTAATTTCCGCTCAAGCGTCCTCGGCATTTCTGTTTGAGCTTCAGAGAAGCTCTGACCCTCATTCCGCTTCCTTCTCAGCTTAGAATTTTCATCTTTCAGTGCTTCGTAACTCATCTGCAGCTTCCGTAGGTGCCGGTCCCCCGGAGACTCTCCATGAGCCGCAAAGTCTGCGCTAGGACTCCCTGCTGGTGAGGCCGGAGACCCCCGGGAGCCGGTGTCACTCAGTGCCCAAGGGGGCAGAGACTCAGGCCCTGCCAGCTCTGCTGGGGTGGAGAGAAAGGAAAGGTATGTGCTGCAGGGCGACGCGCCGGCAGGGAGCCTCTCGGGGTGAGTCTGCTCCATGGCGGACGGCAGGTAGGCCCCACTCCATCCGGTGTCCTCGTCCTCCTCCTCTTCCAGGAGGTCACCGGCCCCTGCCGGCTCTTCGAAAAACGGCTGCAGATACTCCAAGCCATACGCCCGGGTTTGGGAGGTTGGGGAGCTGAGGTCGAGTCCCAGTGAACGCCTGGAGCCTTCCTTTGCGTAAACTCTGCGGGCCGGGCCCTCTTTTGACAGGCCGAGGTTCTTGGTCTTCAGAAACTCTTTAAAGGAGAACGGATCTGCCTGTTCAAGATCTTCAGATTTGTCATCTGCGTCTCCCACGGAAGCCAGCACCGGGCCGGGCACATAGCACATAAAGGCCGGCCGAATGCCGAACAAGGGGGAGTCGGGGCCCCTGCCATGGGGGCGCTCACAGTCTAGCTGGGGGAGACAAGACCGGCGCTCAGAGAACGCTGGAGCGTCGGGAATGACGATGCCCCGGGTGCGGGACAGCGGGGTGGCGCCGGAGCGGCGCGGGTAGCCCGACAAGGACACGGGCCCGGCGGGGCTGCACCTGCCTAGCCGGGCAGCGGCGGCTCCATGGCCCTGGCTCCGCCCGGGCCCCGGCCCCCGTTGCCCGCCCCCTTCGGCCGCCGCCGCTCAATCTGGTTGTTCTTAATGTGTGAAGGGAACTTAAATCTTGTCAAATTACATACATCATACGTCTCATTTCTGTCTTAGCAGTAAAACCACGTATGCTCAGTGAAGTCAGTTATATTCTTCGAACTGCTTCTGCTAATTCAGTCTTTTCCTGGAGTTAAGATTAGACAAGATTTACAGATTTTTAAATTTAAGGCCTGTAACTCCTGAGGATGGTTTAAAGCTTTGACGAGCGAGATGTAGGGCTTTAAAGGAGGACGTTCCTTCAGTCTCTCAAAAACACTTGGAAGATATTTATTACATTCTCCAAAGTAAGTCACAGCTCAGCTTTAATCATGAAGATCTTGAAGTTTTTTTTTATAGGGGCGGGGTACCCGTTAGGAAACTCATTTTATTCCTAACCTCAAGTGATTATTGAGGCAGGTTTTTCTTCCCTATGAAGAAGAAAACGAATTGTGCAATGCCAGTTTAAAAAAACTATGTGTATTTCTTAGGAAAAGTAGATAATTCTCTCCCCCTGTACAACTGCTACTTGTTTAAAATAATATTCCAGTTTTGCCTCTGTCAGTCTTAATGTGATAGAACCTTACTCAGTGAAAATCTATGGATTTATTGATTGAAAACATTTGTTTAGCATACATCTGTGTTATTTAAATTTCAGTGCTTTTAGAGATGAGGTCTAGCTGTTTTGCCCAGACTGGCCTTGAACTTCGGGCTCAGGTGATCCTCCTGTCTTGGTCTCCCAGGTAGCTCGGAGTATAGGCATGAACCACCATGCCAGGGTAAGAGCTAATGATTTATTTGATTGAAAAAACTTACTTAACATACATTTCATGTATTTTTATGACTTGTCACCTCCTGACAGGTCACTTGACATGGAAAAGTACCTCTTTAAACACTTTCGTAAAACTTTAACAAACATTTTAAATTGCTTCATTGTAGTGGAAATAGCGTCTCCCCTTATTATTGGACATTTTGAAAAATGAAATTCTAGAGCAATTTTTATCATAAATACTAGACATGAATAATTGTATATGAAGACTGTCTGACAATTTGGATTTTTATGCTAGGATAGAATTCCAGGAGTAGAGACTGGGCATACCCTTTTAAGCCTCATAGTAAATTCTTACTAAAGTGTGTTGCAAAGATTTCATCAGTTATGAATTCCAGGGTCCTTCAGGGGAGTTAGTGGGGACATTTTGCGGAGAGCAGCAGATGGTGTCTGGAAACATGGTTTCTAATCTTTGCTGTGCCACATACAGGTTGTGGATATCTGGGTTAGTAACATAGGTTCTGTGGGCCTTACTTTCCTCACTGTAACTCAGGTGAATTTAACCACTTTACCAACCTTAATTCTAATTCTGTAAAAAACTGGGTATAGTCAAGGAGAATCAGTGCCTATATATTACCAAGTGATTTGTCTGGGAAAAAAGCAGAAGCAGGGAGTATCAGATGTACCTTGAAAATGGAGTAAGTTAGAGGAAATGCACAAGACGTATGGTTGCTCTTCTGGTTTTTAATTTTAAGAATAGAGTCCAGGCTGGATGCAGGGGCTCACACCTGTAATCCCAGCACTTTGGGAGGCCAAGGCAGGTGGATCACTTGAGGTCAGGAGTTTGAGACCAGCCTTGTCAACATAGCGAAACTCCATCTCTACTAAAAATACAAGTTAGCTGGTTTTGGTGGCAGGCTCCTGTAATCACAGCTACTCAGGAGGCTGATGTTGAACCCAGAAGGCGGAGGTTGCAGTGAGCCGAGACTGCACCCCTGTACTCCAGCCGGGGTGACAGAGACTCCATCTCAAAAAAAACAAAAAAGAGTCTCATAAAATTATGTCAGATAGACACTTCTGCTGAGACTTAGGGATTTTCAGACAATTTCAAATAGAAAATGAAAGTGTAAGGAAACAAGTGTGTAACTTTCCAAAAGAAGTTGTGGAGAAAAAGGAACACTTTTACACTGTTGGTGGGAGTGTAAATTAGTTCAACCATTGTGGAAGACGGTGTGACGATTCCTCAAGGCCTTAGAAATAGAAATTCCATTTGACCCAGCAATCCCATTACTGGGTATATATCCAAAGGACTATAAATCGTACTACTATAAGGACACATGCACACGAATGTGCATTGCAGCACTGTTAACAATAGCAAAGACCTGGAACCAACCCAAATGCCCATCGATGATAGACTGGATCGGAAAAATGTGGCACATATACACCATGGAATATTATGCAGCAATCAGAAATGATGAGTTTATGTCATTTGTAGGGACATGGATGAATCTGGAGAACATCATCCTCAGCAAACTGACACATGAACAGAAAATGAAACACCGCGTATTCTCACTCATAGGCGGGTGATGAAAAATGAGAACACATGGACACAGGGAGGGGAGTACTAAACACTGGGGTCTATTGGGGGGAAAAGGGGAGGGCCAGTGGGAGGGGGAGGAGGGGAGGGATAGCCTGGGGAGAAATGCCAAATGTGGGTGAAGGGGAGAAAGGAAGCAAAACACACTGCCATGTGTGTACCTATGCAACTGTCTTGCATGTTCTGCTCATGTACGCCAAAACCTAAAATGCAATAAAAAAAAAAAGAAGTTGTGTTCTGTGTCGGTTTTAGGTTACAGAATGACTCTAAGCCAAAAAAAAAAGTATGTTATTCATTCATTTACACAAAATGCAGAATATTTTCATTCTCTTCTATTGTTTACTTATTTAAATTGATAAATATGTTTATGGTATAAAACATTATTTTTTGATATATGTACACATTGTGGAATGGCTTAATCAAGCTAATTAACCATAATGCATTACCTCACATACTTTTTTTGTGGTGAGAACACTTAGAATTTACCCTCCACAATTTTCAGGCTTACAATATATTAACTGTAGGCCTATGGTGCACCATAGATCTCTTGAATGTATTCCTCCTGTTTAAACGACCGATATTTCCCCAGCCCTTCTGTACCCCGGCCTCTGGTAACCACTAGATTCCACATGTGAGTGAGATCATTGGCATTTCTCTTTCTGTGCTTTACCTTATTTCACTTATGATAATGTCCTCCAGATTCATCTGTGTCATTGCAACTGACACGATTTTCTTCTCTTTGAAGGCTGAATAGTATTCTGTTGTGTGCATATACCACATTTTCTCTATCAGTTCATTCACTGATGGTTGCTTAGGTTGATACCCTATCCTGGCTGTTATGAATAAAAATGAAATGAACATGGGAGTGCAGATACCTCATCAGTATACTGCTTTCCTTTCCTTTGGATTTATAGCTAGTGGTGGGACTGCTGGATCATATGATAGTTCCATTGTTATTTTTATTTATTTATTTTTTTGAGACGGAGTTTCACTCTTGTTACCCAGGCTGGAGTGCAATGGCTCGATCTCGGCTCACTGCAACCTCCGCCTCCTGGGTTCAGGCGATTCTCCTGCCTCAGCCTCCTGAGTAGCTGGGATTACAGGCACGCGCCACCATGCCCAGCTAATTTTTTGTAATTTTTAGTAGAGACGGGGTTTCACCATGTTGACCAGGATGGTCTCGATCTGTTGACCTCGTGATCCACCCGCGGCCTCCCAAAGTGCTGGGATTACAGGCTTGAGCTACCGCGCCCGGCCCCATTGTTATTTTTTTAAGGAACCTCCGTACTGTATTCCATAGTGGCTATACTAATTTACATTCCCAGCAACAGTATACAAAGGTTTCCTTCACTCTACATCCTCATCAGCACTCGTTCTCTTTCATCTTTTGATAATTGTCATTCCAACAGGTGTGAGGTAATATCTCATTGGGTTTTAATTTGCATTTCCCTGATGATTAGCAATGTTGAGCATTACTTTATATACTTGTTGGCGATTTGTATGTCATCTCTTAAGAAACGTCTACGCCCTTTGCCTGTTTTTTAGTGGGCTTATTTATTTTCTTGCTATTTCGTTGTTTTAGCTTTTTACATATTTTGGATACTAATTTCTTATCGGCTATATGGGTGTTTTGTTTTGTTTTGTTTTGTTTAAGATGGGGTTTCACCATATTGGTCAGGCTGGTCTTCAACTCCTGACCTCAGGTGATCCGCCCACCTCAGCCTCCCAAAGTGCTGGGGTTACCGGCGTGAGCCACTGCACACGGCTTGGTTTGTTTTCAAATATTTTCTCCCGTTCTTCAGGTTGTTTCTTCACTCTTGATTGTTTTCTTTGCTGAGCAGAATTTTTTAGTTTGATGACATCTCATTTGTCTATTTTTGCTTTTGCTGCCTCTACTTTTAGGGTCATACTCAGAAAATCATTGCCCAGACCAGTGTCAGAGAGATTTTTCCCTATGTTTTCTTCTAGGAGTTTTATGTTGTCAGATCTTATGTTTAAGTATTTAACCCATTTCGGGTTGATTTTTGTGTGTGATATGAAAGGAGAGGCTAATTTCATTATTCTACATGGGGACATTCAGTTTTCCCAACACTGTTTACTGAGGAGACTGTTTTCTCCTCACTCTGTGTTCTTGGCATCTTTATTGAAAATCAGTTGACCGTAAATGTGTGCTCTCTCTATTCATATTTTTTAAGTAAACTGTTTTGTGATGAGAAACGTAGCAAAAATTCTACATCATCTTTGATATGTCAGTAAAGCCATTTGGGCACAGATTGGACCTGATGATTTCTCTTTTCAAGAAGCAAGTACCGGGCCAGGCGCAGTGGCTCAAGCCTGTAATCCCAGCACTTTGGGAGGCCGAGGCGGGTGGATCACGAGGTCAACAGATCGAGACCATCCTGGTCAACATGGTGAAACCCTGTGTTTATTAAAAATACAAAAAATTAGCTGGGCGTGGTGGCGCGTGCCTGTAATCCCAGCTACTCGGGAGGCTGAGGCAGGAGAATTGCCTGAACCCAGGAGGCGGAGGTTGCGGTGAGCCGAGATCGCGCCATTGCACTCCAGCCTGGGTAACAAGAGCGAAACTGTCTCAGAAAAAAAAAAAAAAGAAAAATCTGACTCTAGTCTGTCTATACTGATTAAGAACCAGGACTGCCTCATGGAGACTTTGGTAAAGTAAATCTCAACAGTACTCACCAGTTGTACAAAGGTTTTATTTAACTAGTTTAAGATACTTGGTTATCAGTTGAACGCAAATAGTAATAATTTAAGGTTTCATGATTGACATGTCTGTAATTAGCCTTTTAAACTAAGAATAACAAAAAAATCAGTAGTTTGTTAATTCCTAATAGCTTGTGATAAAAGTTATTATCTGGGATTTTGGGGGGGAGGGTCTGTTTTAAAAATTAACATTTTGGGTTTGATTTATAAAATTTATATATTGGAAGTTGAAATTACTGGATAAAATACAATTTACATTTTAAAAACATTTTCAAGTGGAAAAAAATTACAACTTGCTGAATACTGACAATTTTTAAATTTAGTCTTTGAGTTCACTATTTAGAATTCTCCAATAAATTGTTAGAGTTAGAAGTAGTGAGTTCATTGCTTGGCCGAATAAATGATTCATATGGCACAAAAGCAGCTTTTCTTCCTCCTCAGTTCCCTTCTCCATTATGTTCACTTCCTCTCTTTTAAAAGGCTCCTTTACAGCCAAATAGCAACTTTGTGTGAATGTGCAAACACTTGGACATAGTTTCAACCTCAGTGTTAGCTGAGTATCTGGGGTCGGATAAGAGAATGAAGAATTTGTCTTGAATTGTATATTTTCCACTGGCAACTGAAAAGCAATATAGTAGTTATAAAGTGCTAGACCTTACCCTCATAGTACAGTTGCCCTGGAAATTTCTTTGAGCAAAATAGGATTTTATTTCTGGGTGTAAAATTTTTCATAGTGTCTGCCTCAAAACAAAATTAAGGTTTAACATTGAGTAAATTCTTTAATTTCTTCTAATTTTTCATACTCTTTTTTACTAGACTAACTTTTCAACATCAGTCTAATAAACATGAAATTTAAAAAATACTCGCTATTTTAGATTCTTTGTTTTCTAAGAATTATGAAGACTGTATTAGGTATTTATGTGGACTTCCTTTTTCTCTACCTTTTACTATAGCACCGAAGTAGGAATTATGCCAGATTATTTTCTCTCTGCTATTTCCATCATAAGAGACTGTTTTATTGCGTCAGGGAAATAGTCTTTCTAGCACAATAACTACTTTGACAATGTAACTACTGGAAATGATATTTGTCCTTCATAAATTAACATCTTTATTTTTGTAATAAATTATTATCTGATATCCTTTAGAGCTTATCTGAAAATATTTCTTTAAGTTTGCATGTATTCAGCACATTTCATGGTATAACAAGACTTTTACATTTATATAACAGAAATTTAAAATAAGGCAATAGACTGTAATCTAGACTTCTATCAACGGGAAATTTTTGTGAATTGGTTTTTGCTGCTTCTCCAGTATACTGATACTTCACCAAATGCTGTATTTATCCTTAAGTTTCTAAATAAGACAAAACATTATGTTTAGTAAAATCCAGCGTGGTTTGTTTTACTGCATGCTAATTCTTTGTCTAGTCTGCAATCATAATATATACGCTATGTAATACATGAATGCATATGACTCATAATGCACAGCATACAAATCTAATATAGGAGCTTTATTTTGATATAATCAGACTTTATTCTGTTACCTGTTTGCCTTTCTTTTTCAAACTTCAAGTGATGCCCTTATTTTCGTAAGACTTAGTGTTTCAGTTAGTACCAACTTCATGCATAGTCATTGTGATTTTATGAAACGTGACTTTAAGTACTGAACCATGTTGGGTTTTTTGATGTAAACTGAGTGTAACTTTTACTAATTATTCAAATTTAAGCTTTACTCTGACTTTTCATAACTCTATTTCATTAGTCACAAAAAAACAAAAATTGGGGTTCTTATTGGCCCTTAAAGTGCCAACACTGGTATTGTTGAAATACATTTCTAAGGAGGATGGTGAGTGTTTTGCTTTACCAATTGCTGCATGACAAGCCACCTCAAAGTTTAATGCTTAAAACAACAGTAATTCATTATTTTTCATAATTTTGAGGGTTGACTCAGTGAGTCTTCTGCTTTGTATGGTCTTGACTGGGGTGCTAAGGACGAGGGCTGTCCACAGTGGCCTCACTTACATGGCTGGCAATGGATGCAGGCTGCTGGCTTGGAGCACAGTTGGGGGTGGCCTGGGGGCCTCAGTTCTTAAGTGTGTCTCTCTGTGAAGTTAGTTGGGCTTCCTTATAACATGGTAGCTGAATTCCAAAAAGAAATGTTCCAAAGGCAAAGAAGCCGCAGCCTTTTAAAGAGCCATATTTAGAAGTTACTTAGAGTTACTTCTGCCCATTCTGTTGATCAAAACAAGTCACAAGGCCAGCCCAGATGAACAGGAAGATAAATAGGCTTCATTTGTTAAAGATGGCGTAGCAAGATTACACTGTAAAAGAGCAAATGGAATGGGATATACTGTTGCAGTCATCTGCGGAAATGCAAACTACCACAAGGAAGTGCAGTTTTTGCTGAGCATGGGTATTTGCCATTACCACATTTCAGAATCTGGGATAGTCGAGCACACATGGATTTGAGCACTGGCACTAGGGTCACTTAAGAGCTATTAACCATTACCTTCTCATCTGTATGATAGTAGTCTCAACCTCACAGGGTGGGCAGTTAAGTGAGATAATTTGAAAGTACACAGCATAGCTGGAAATTCCATTACTCCTATCCTGTTTCTTTTCCCATGTCCTTCATGTTTCATCCATGTTTATATTTGTGATTATAGTACTTAAAGGTATGTTTTAAGACAAATTCATCTGAAGTATCTGTCTTACCAAGATAGTTCAGTAGTTCCAATCTGAATAAAATTTATAACATTAACATAATTTATAGCTCTTCTAATACAAGCATCTATCTAATGCTACAGTTCTTTATAAACCTCTGTGTATAGGCTATTTACAATGTAATCATCTACTATACTAGTTTGTGGAAATAAACAAATGGCTATTTGCCATAGTTCTACATTGTGTTATACCTTCTATTTTGCAGAAAAATCTTACAGTTTTCCTAAGCCATCTCTTTAGGTCAATTCCAGAATATGTTTATGATCTAATGTACAGGTCCCTAGCCAAAGAGATTAAGATGCTGAATCAGAGAAAGAAGTCCAAAGAGATAATTTTCCAGTGATCATTTCTAAGGAAGGAATGACTATTTAGTACCCGTTTTAAAATGAAGTATTTTATTTAAAATAAATACTTTTATTTTAAATAAAATACTTCATTTTAAAACGGGTACTAAATAGTCATTGTCAAAGGTGTAATTATGAGTCAGCTTTGCTGGTCTGAGTGTCCGTGGTCACCAGCATCACCAACCTGACATGCTGGCAATACATAGTCTTGGCCACCAGGTAAAGGAGTCATAGAAAACCAGTACTACCACTTACAGAAAATAAACAGAAAGCACATTTCCTAATTTGTTCTTGAAGGTAAGAATATTGCTTAAAACAGTATCAGTAAAATACAAAATCAAGTGAAATATTACATTAAATATAACAATTGAAAGAATGGGGCTAGACAAAGAAGAACTGTTGCACGCTAATGATTAGACATTAGAATAAGTTTCTCAGGATAATATTTTGAAGCATTTAACAAATGACAGTGTTACGAATTATGCGGACAGTACTAAAAGTGGGTACAGAGCAAAAGAAGTGGCGATAGTTTTGTCTAGTCGGTCTCTTCAGAGTGAGCGGGAACATTTTATTTTAGAACAGCAATGATATCGGGCCGGGCGTAGTGGCCTATGCCTGTAATCCCAGCACTTTGGGAGGCCGAGGCGGGTGGATCACGAGGTCAAGAGATCGAGACCATCCTGGTCAACATGGTGAAACCCCGTCTCTACTAAAAATACAAAAATTAGCTGGGCATGGTGGCGTGTGCCTGTAATCCCAGCTACTCAGGAGGCTGAGGCAGGAGAATTGCCTGAACCCAGAAGGCAGAGGTTGTGGTGAGCTGAGATGGCACCATTGCACTCCAGCCTGGGTAACAAGAGCGAAACTCCGTCTCAAAAAAAAAAAAACCCTGAAAAAACAATGATATCGGAATCCCATTTCGTCTTTCATTTTCAAACACTGACTTTGTGTGACTTTGGGAGAAGCTTTTAAGTTTTATATAAAGCACTTTTTTTGTACAGAGCACAAAGTGGGAACCTTTAAAATTACCTACTTGTATAGCACCTAATTTAAAGAATATGTTCAAACGTATTACTCTATTTTCTCAATTCTAAGCGCTTATCAATTGTAAGGCGTGTTGTTTGATTTAATAACAATGTTTTAATGTCTCTTTTGGAAAAATAAAACACTTTTCTTTGGGGCGGAGGAGCCTTTGATCTAAGGATTATTCTGAATTCCTTTGGGCCATGGACACTGCAGCAAATGCTGCTCTTTCTGATCTTTAACACTTTTAGGATTGATAGCATCATTCTGAGCCATGTCCAGAATTGCTTTGGTGAGGTTTTCATTTCCTATTTAATTTAATTAATTTTTTTTTTTTTTTGAGACGGAGTTTCGCTCTTGTCACCCAGGCTGGAGTGCAATGGCGCGATCTCGGCTCACCGCAACCTCCGCCTCCTGGGTTCAGGCAATTCTCCTGCCTCAGCCTCCTGAGTAGCTGGGATTACAGGCACACGCCACCATGCCCAGCTAATTTTTGTATTTTTAGTAGAGACGGGGTTTCACCATGTTGACCAGGATGGTCTCGATCTCTTGACCTCGCGATCCACCCGCCTTGGCCTCCCAAAGTGCTGGGATTACAGGCGTGAGCCACCGCGCCCGGCCCTAAAAAAAATTTTTTTTTTTTTACTAATTATATTACATTTCACTTGAAGTTAAATAACTTCTCTTGAAGGCCATCCAGAAGACTTTAACAGCCAGATATTTGCTATCTGCTTAGAATTATCACTTGTGAAACCTTCACTAAACTTAATTCAGCCACATGTCACAGGCAGTTCTGCATATATAACTTTTTGTTTCAATGCTGCATTATAGTGATCTTTAAAAAGACATTTTAAGAGATAATTTAGGGATTTTAAATTAAATTAAAATTCAGCTGTGCATAGTTCTATTTATGCAGGTAAGTGACAGATAAAGGTAAATTTTTAGTCATGTCTAAGTTCATACATGAATCCAATAATACACGTGGATTATAATACAAAGCATTATAGCATTTTGTGTAATGCCTGCCAAAGTTCTTTTGATATCTGCAGTAAGACTCCATTTGAAAAATGTGGCCGGGCGCGGTGGCTCACGCCTGTAATCCCAGCACTTCGGGAGGCCGAGGCGGGTGGATCACAAGGTCAAGAGATCGAGACCATCCTGGTCAACATGGTGAAACCCCGTCTCTACTAAAAATACAAAAAATTAGCTGGGCATGGTGGCGCAGGCCTGTAATCCCAGCTACTCAGGAGGCTGAGGCAGGAGAATTGCCTGAACCCAGGAGGCGGAGGTTGCGGTGAGCCGAGATCGCGCCATTGCACTCCAGCCTGGGTGACAAGAGCGAAACTCCAACAAAAAAAAAAAAAAAAAAAAAAAGCAAAATGTTAAAGTTAAAAAAATGTGCTTTAAGTATTGAGAAAATAAATTATTCCTTTTTTTCCTCACAGCAGCTGTTTAAGGAAGACAGAGCAAGCATTGAATAATTTTTTTTTTTAATTTTGAGACGGAGTTTCACTCTTGTTACCCAGGCTGGAGTGCAATGGCATGATCTCAGCTCACCGCAACCTCCGCCTTCTGGGTTCAAGCAATTCTCCTGCCTCAGCCTCCCAAGTAGCTGGGACTACAGGCTGCGCCACCATGCCCAGCTAATTTTTGTATTTTTCGTAGAGACGGGGTTTCACCTCGTTGACCAGGATGGTCTCGATCTCTTGACCTGGTGATCCACCCGCCTCGGCCTCCCAAAGTGCTGAGATTATAGGCGTGAGCCACCGCACCCGGCTTGGATAATATTATTAAGGTAAAGAATCTGGGTGTTTGAGACAAGGTCATACAGCAAGAAGTCTACCTGGAATTATGAACCAGGTCTTCAAGACTTCCAGATATTTGTGCTGTCTACTGTGCTGCATTTTCAACAATAATTCATTTGTTTGTGGGTTAAATTCAATTTAATGAGATTCATTTATTCAACACATATTTATTAAATGCCATTATTGCTAGTCATTGTGTTAAATAATAGTGTAAGACAGTAAACCAGACAGAGTTATCTTTCCGTGTCTTCATGAAACCAGCAGCTTTTGAAAAAGACTAAAACTAAACAAATAATTACAACTAAGATGGGCATTTAGGGAGAGATTGTAAGATGATAGGAAGGAATATGACAGGCCAACTTAACCTGCTCTGGGATGTGGGGGAGTGTTCAATGTGAACCGAGGGTAGGACAGGAGAAATAACTTTTGGGGCTGAAATTGGGAAAATCGGCATGAATTAGCTAAGCCTAGGAATTAGGAGAAGAGTTAGGATAGAACGTTGCAGGCAACAGAAACAGCATCTACAAAAGTAAAAGGAAGAACTAAAAGGCTTCCAGTGCCAGCATTGAAAAGAAGGATAAGTAGGGCCAGGCGCGGTGGCTCACGCCTGTAATCCCAGCACTTTGGGAGGCCAAGGCGGGTGGATCATGAGGTCAAGAGCTCGAGACCATCCTGGTCAACATGGTGAAACCCCATCTCTACTAAAAATACAAGAAATTAGCTGGGCATGGTGGCGCGTGTCTGTAATCCCAGCTACTCGGGAGGCTGAGGCAGGAGAATTGCCTGAACCCAGGAGGCGGAGGTTGCGGTGAACTGAGATTGCACCATTGCACTCCAGCCTGGGTAACAAGAGCGAAACTCCGTCTCAAAAAACAAACAAACAAAAAACCAGTCTTCTTGTGTCTTTTTCCCCTAAATCAAGGTGACAAAAATAAATGACTGTGCTCTTGGCTGTTACGATTTCGAATGGTTACTGTACAAAAGGCCACATGTGTTAAATTACCTACTGCAGTGCGAATTATCGTGAAACCTTGTTCACAATGCTGGAGAGACTGTGTTTTGCCACTTCTCCTGTAACAGTTTTTAAAGATCCAACGTGTATTCATTTTGGTATTGAAAGCCTCAAAACTCCTAAAGACCCCATGTGAATTTAAAATGCGAAGTTGTTTCACCTTTTTATACTAGATGGCATAGCAGTTTTTAAAGTAAAATGAAAAGTGTGATGTGTTGTGATACAGAGATAAGGGCAGAGAGAGAGAGGGAAAGGAGTAAATTGGAGCAACAAAAATTCCACTGTCATTTATAAAGTGCTGTATATGGGCTCTAAAATTCCATTCTGAAATACTCTTAACTCCGGAAGGGGTATGTTTCCTGCCAGCTTCTGTTAACACAGGAACCATAGTTTTTCTGTTCTTAAAATTAAGAACTTTATATCCTTTTGGAATTTTTAATATTTTTTCTCTATGTTTATAATGCTTTTGATTATGTTTATTATTAACTTATTAACTATGCTTATAATTTGTATACTCTATTCTGTTTGGAAAGTACAAAATGATACCGTAGATACTTCCTGAAGTTTTCTAGAAAAATTAAAACTTCATTCATCTTTATTCATAGCATCCTTGGACATTCAGTTAGTAAATTTTTCCACTAACAAACACCTCTCTTCTTTAATTCCTAGGATAGTTCATCTCAACCCTTATTATAAAATATCAGCGTGACTCGGATTGCTGTTGAAGATTTCTTAGTACAGTGTCTTCAGGAAGACACTGCCTCCGGGCTACTCAGGTATGTCATAGGGCTGTTTGTCCTTTCAGAAACAATTCTCAGTAGCTGTTGTTGCTTTGCATTTTTGTAAAGTGTCTGTTTTCAAAGCTTGATATTAATTCTTTTTTTTTTTTTTTTGAGACGGAGTTTCGCTCTTGTTACCCAGGCTGGAGTGCAATGGCGCAATCTCAGCTCACCGCAACCTCCGCCCCCTGGGTTCAGGCAATTCTCCTGCCTCAGCCTCCTGAGTAGCTGGGATTACAGGCACGCGCCACCGTGCCCAGCTAATTTTTTGTAATTTTTAGTAGAGACAGGGTTTCACCATGTTGACCAGGATGGTCTCGATCTCTTGACCTCGTGATCCACCCGCCTCGGCCTCCCAAAGTGCTGGGATTACAGGCGTGAGGCACCACGCCCGGCCTAATATTCTTATAGCTACTGGTGTGCAGAGAACGGCACCTGTGAATAAAGTGAGAGAAACACGTTGGTAATAGGTTTGAAGAGCGCTTCAATGAGTGACGTCCTTGGGCTGTACGATGTTTGCTTTCACGTCACCAAGTCTTGCCCTAGGCCCCTGCCCCTGCCCTTTATGCCCT